TACAAGTCCTTATCTTTACTCTTCTTCAAAATATAGGCACATGCGAGCTCCAGCGTCATTGGCTCTCAGAGGTCATGCTCGCAGAACAATATATACATAGCAACTGCTATTATATAACAGTTCGATATCAGTTGGAATGGTGCAACTTGGAAGTGGTTAAGGATCAACCTGATGTAAGGGTGAAAAGGAATTCTCACTCCACATTTAAAAATCGCTTCGAAGGTTATAGCCATTCCCTCGAGAGGATCCTAAGCCATTTGTTACCTCTTTTAGTATACATTTTTTTCAATCACATATTGGTCTAATGCCTTCTGTATTTCTTTAGGCATGGCAATTGACCTTATCAATTTTTCGTGTCTTATAGAGGTACCTAATGGGTGTGAGCTTTCACCGTTGGCTCTTTTCATTTTAGGGATCTCCACTAGCTCTAGAGTCTGTAAAGGTACGACAATTAGGAGAGACTCAAACCTTGAAAAATCTACCTCATACAATGACTTAGAAGAAGTGGAGGAAAACTTTATGGTTTTTGCCATGGCCATTTGGTTTCTAACCCTAGAAACTCCTAAAAACAGTCCTCCAGGACTCTTTACCCTAAGTTTTTAAGCCTTCAAGTGTTTTTCCCGAACACCACCTAGAAGTGCTTCTTTCCTAAACCTACCAGATGCCCATAACCACCATGACTGTACAAAAATTGTAGGAATGTGAAAAAGAGTAAAAGAAAGAAATTTCAATACCTCATGGTTGCTTGAAATAGGGGTTGCTTGAAATGGGTGCTCTGTTGTAGCGTTGTGTTTGTATGAATTGATGAAGGAAGCAAGAGTTTTTTGAGAGTAAGAAAATTGTGTTTTCTCTCTGAAAAAATTCAAGTTCTCTGATAAATTAAGGCAAAGCTAGGGTTTTTATGCAAAGAAGGTGAATTAAGGCAAAGCTAGGGTTTTTATGCAAAGAAGGTGACGTTATAACTTCTTTATAAGCAAATTTTGGGTAGGAGTTCATTCTTGGCCATAGATTGCAACCATGTGTCATCAATCCATGGGAAGAGTAACTTCCACGCCTCTAAAAAACCAACCGATGTTAGCCTGTATTGAGAACATCAATCGCTGGCGTGATTATCTCTTCCGCATTTAATGCGTCTTTTGTTAGTGTATGCCCTAGGAACCAATCATGTCGTCGGTTCCAAGACATTATGTTTTGTATATATATTTTAATGTATATATTTTGTATATATATATTTTATCTTATCAATAGAAGAAAGTGTTCTTATTTCACATGTGGTTTATTGCTTCATATATATATATGTATTACATGTGAAATGTCCGGATGATACAAATCTTTAGAAGATCAAAATCATCAAAGTATTCCTACATAGGTAATATTAATTGGGCAATAATATTACATAGTAGGCATGTTGAATGCCTCCGTAGAATATCATGTGATGGTATTAGTGTGGGTGATTATAAAAGTTATATCACTAGGGCATTAGCATGGATACGCGGTTAGTGAACTGTTTATCGAATATGGACATTTATGATGAATCACATGGACATTTAAAATGTAGTCAATGATTTATTATAAGATCGTACTAGTGTATTATTAATCCTTAGACCTGAGATATCACGGATAGATTCTGTATAAACGCATATGGTTCATATGGTGTATAAACACGAGGCTAATCATGCCATGTGTTAATAAGCCAATTTGACCATGTGTTGTTTATGTGTGAGGACAAGTGATAGTCAAGATGGGATCCGTTAACTTGGTATAGATTATTATCAAGTTCCTAGACAAATGTCAAGATACCTTGGAAAAGGGAATCTCCGGCCGGGGTATATAAAATGTTACATGAAATGTTGTTTTATGGTGACACGTTCCATATGTATTGAATTAAAATTAAGATAAGGATTTTGACATACCATGAATCCATTCTTAATTGGGATTAGACAACGGAAGGATTTGATTATACAACGTGTATGAGTATAAAAGGTTCGTTGGAGTATATCTTCATTGTGACTAAGGGGTTATGGAGCATTGCTAGATGCCTACCATAATCAGTGGAAGTTTTGTTCATAAAGAGTTATGACAAAATATATCGAAATAGTCTGTGATATTGGGCTCACGGCTAGGTCACAGTGAACCTAAGAGGTCACACATAAAAACTAAGGAGAATAGAGAAATAGCCAAAAAGAGTTGATTATCCAAGATTGACTAGCACCTACCAAGGGTAATAAAGTTATTTATATTAATCATTTTCTTTATATTAAATTGAATTTTATAAGGGGTTGTAATTGTAAACATATAAACGATTTAAGGGTTAAATTGTTAATTGTGATTAAATGTTAATCCAATGTTATAATTTAAAGAAGTTTAACAACTTCATAACAATTATGGAATTGTTTAAAGAAGTCCAAAACAATTATTGAATTGTTTACAAGGATCCCTATATAAAGAAAATGATATATCACTTTCAAGGTAAGATGAAAAAGAGAATAAAATTTCAAAGAACCCTAACCCCCCTCTCTGGGCCAAATTTCTTCTTCCCTTGGTGCGGATACTCTTTTGCTTAATTTCTTTTGAAATTAAGAGCCTCCAAGGTTGCTAAGGGCTAAAGGTAACATGTTCTACCTTACTTATTTCAATTTGATTGAATTTTTTTTTTTTTAAACTATGACTATGCATGTTATAGTATGATATGCTTGATTCTCCATGCATTCATCTTTCATCTTCATCCATATTTAATGCACCAAAAGAGAATGTTATTTCAATATGGCTTGCATGTAATGTTCATGGCTGACACTTATTGTACATAGTGACTCGTCTATCATATATAGATTACTTTATTAACTGAGCCAGTTTGTCAAATGTGATATATAACATCTGAAGAGTTTATTCAAAATAGACATTTATTCAACATGTCAAACGTGAACACCAAACAAGATGGTTTAGAAATTTTAGCCATGAATAAATCCAAGTTTTTCAAGTCGTGAATGACAGTTAGAGTTCAAAACATCCTCCGATGTTTTAAGACAAGAGCTAGCTCAGATCGATAGATCTCAATAAACGATTACATCAGGTCGCTTGTGTTACTCTCAAGTCATAGTTCATGACCTACCTCCTGTTCACAAGTCAAGATAGAATTTCAGAAATCAGATTAAGCAACCAACTTCAGGCCGCCTGCAGCGATGTGATTGCTCCTCAGCTCTCGGCTCGAGCAAGCATCTTTGAAATCAAGTCAGGTAGTGGCATAATCATGAAGTTCTCAAGATCCAATTCTTGGAATCTCAAGACTAGAGAGCTTCTGTTATGCCTAAAAAATCAGGGCTGACATAAGTTGATGTCTGCGAGCACCAATCAAAGTTTAAGAAAGCTTTGCGTCGTCCAAAGTTTGCCACATCGCCCAAGATAGAAAGAACATAGTTGTCAACAACCCAGCCAACTCAAGTTTTGCCTGTGAATGAATTTGGTTCGTACACCTGTCCAAGCCCCATTTAATTTAAGGATATTTCTTAAGTCCTCAACCAATAGGACGCAAGGAAGGATTTTCACAGCACCTACCCACTTGTAGATATTTAATCATTACCTTGGGCTCAGCAGGTATAAATAGGCAACTCCCCCTAAAAAAATCGGGATCAGACACTCTAAATTTAACAAAGCAAATAGCAAAGACACCCTTCAGGAAATAGACTGACTTAGTATTCTCTCTAAATATCAAGCATTTGTAATTTAGTTCGCAGTTCGAGACCTCTTGTAAACTTGGCTAATCACCAAGAATACTCATATAAAATAAAACAGTGGATGTAGGAATCGCTTTAAGTATCCGAGCTATTATAAAAATATTTACTGTCTCATTTACTATACGTCTTTGCATGCTACTGTGAGAGCAGTACACCATAATCAACTTTCAAATTTGTTCACATGTAATTTCTAAGATCTTTCTTAACACTTTACATGTACAAGATTGTTGGTGTGAAAATTACACATTAACATAATTATTATAAGCTTTGATGATTCGTCAATTGTATTAACATTACTTGCACGACACTCCTCACATCTCTAATCTCAGGATTTCTAATTAATGATCATGCATGTTGATAACGATTCAATTTTTTTTTTTTTTTTAAATGACGTTTCACTGAGAAATTCTTTAGTAATCGATGATTTCTCAGTTCTCGCCCACCAACCATGCACAAGTAACAGTTTATCAACTTTCCATTCAGCTTGCTGCTTTCTCTTCCCCTTCCCCTTCTCCTTCTCCTTCCCCTTGCGATTGCAACATCTATATTCAATAGCCAGATTAGTCTTTTACCCCTCAAAGAGATGTTTTTGTGGAAAGTAATTTGATAATTAACATTCACCATTAGTGATATTTCAACTGGGATTTCTCATGCCGACAAAACCCTCCAATTATAAATGTAGAAATAGACATTTAGCAAATATTTGTATTATTGATTCATGGAAAATTGGTACCAATAATGCATGAATCAACAATTTGCACAACTCTTTCAATTTTCTATTTATTTTGACAATAACTGCATGACATTAATGTTATGATGTGATGTTTGTTGATAATTATTGGTTTTTTTATACTTCATAATTAGTTTTTCAAATTTTTTGTTTTTAAAAGTATATGTAAAAATTTGGAGCAAAGCACTTAATTTTATTTAAATTAATGCTCTTAAAAACAGTTTTGGGATGGAATCCTAGACTTTTGAACAAAAGAAAATGTTATTTTCTTATATTAATTTTTTTTTTTTTTTGGGTCTATTATACTATAATTTTCTAGTTGACGTGAGTCAACTGCCGTAGTTGTGAAGCGAAGATGCCACAAATTTCCACACCTTAATTAGGGATAGGCCGTAGGGGACAAGAGAAGGTCAATTTCAAAGTTAATTTTAGTAGTCTCAATCCTAGTAGGAAAATTAATTAATTAATAGTCTTAAAGATTAGCAGCTTAATATATAAGTCAGCTAGTTGATCATATTATTAATACCCATCAGCTACAGATTGTTCTCAACTTCTCCAAAAAGAAACATGGTGGTGTTTTTGAAGCAGCAGTGGTTTCTTCCACTTTGTTTTGCCGTTTTATCTTGCTTTGGACCTCTAACATTTGCTGTGTTTCCACTGCACCCTGACGAAGGTAAATTCATTAGTTTCAGCTTTAATTTATAATCAACTTTTCTTCTTTTTATCCTTCTCTACTCAACCTTAATATTTAATCAACATGTATCTAATAACACATAAATATCGTTTTATCTTTAATATTTTAATGTTTTTGAGAAAAATATTAGGTTAAAGAATGATAGGAAAATTATGAATATGTTAATATCATTGAAGAGATATAGAATTAACTAAGTAATCTGATATGTTTATGTTGTGAACATTCAGTGTTTTGATGACTTTGGTTGTCGACATCTGCATGAATGGGTTAATATATCTTATATATGCTGAAAGATGGTTTATATCGGTATTCATAATGGTATATGGGTAATACAATATTTACAACCCAATTTTGTAAACTTTCTCTTATAACTCCGACGTGCCAGCTCGTAAATGAGTCTCGCTTACTTGCTATGGGTCTTACCTATCCAATTGCAAGCTGATCAATTGCGAACTACCACAGTTGGGGTTATAAAAAAAAGTTTGTAAAATTAAGTTGTAAGTTAATATTTATCCACAATATATTCATTCATATTATTCTATAAGACTTTCTTTTATGGATATATTTATACAAATATTTTTGCATGTATTAACGATTTTAAAGTAAAAATAAAATTAATGTTAGGTTTTGAAAAAATATTCTTAACTTAAAAATTTGCTTTTGAGTTTCGTACAACATCTTCCACCCAAAACACAATTTATATTTTAGTTTACTAGACTTAATATTTATAAGCTATATCAAATAAATTTATCCAGAGTCCCTATTTAGGAACTTTGAGGTTTATGTAAATATATTTACTACTCTATTTACGCTGGTCTGGGATTGTCGTAAATTTAAACTTAATTAGTTTTTAATCCACTTTGAAAATAATCAATTTTAAAAAATATGCTAGCATGTAATATTCGTAATTTATGTGATTTTCAAAACCTATCATTATGTATTTAGTAAATTAGATTTTTAAATTGTTGTTCTGTGTATAATGGCAAAAAGGACATATTTTATTTCTTAAAACATTTTTATAAGTATTTCATAAATATTAAAATATGTATACTACAATAACCTATATCAAATAAATTATTATTTAATTAATAATTAAAAAATTCAAGACGAAATAAGATGTAGTTGGTGGTGGTCAACCTCTGGTCAAAGATTGTCATTGTCGCTCAACTCCTATCAATTAGCGGTTAGCAGAGGTAAATTGGAACATAACTAGTCTTAGGATCCAAAAAAGGCTATTTGTTGGAATACGGTTAAATCATCTAATTTAGAGATGGCAATGGACGGGTCGAGACTGGGTACCGCTTGGCCCAGGCCTAACCCCATGACCCAGGCTCTAGCCCAGCCTGAACCTATTTTGGGGATGTCGAGTAATACCCAGGCTAGGGTCTGATGGGTTTTTGGTGACTCATGCCAGTCTTGATAGGACTGATTGTATCTTTCACGCATCATCATTGACCGATAGTTGACCACAGCATTTATAGTAAGAGGAAGCGGCAGTCTTGTTAAGGAAAAGACTCAAAACATTTTTCTGTTTTGTTTTGTTTTTAACGAGGAAAGTTTCTAATGTAGTTCCCTTTTCAATCCTTCTGAACCACTGATTATGTGCAGCCATCGTTCTTAAGCAAATGGCTGCAACAATGGGCTTCACACTCTTGAATTCCACAGAGGATCCTTGCCAATCACATATGCTTCCAATACCCACTTACCACCCAGAAGCAAGTAATGCCACAACCCACACCAACATAATCCTTTGTAACTACACTCTTGGCAATTACTCTCACATCACCAACATGTAAGTCCTCTCTTCTTCTTTCACTTTCTCTTTGTTTTCATTTTAATTTCAGTTTGATGAATTGTAATGGGGCTTTTTGAACAACTGATATATATCATGGACGTTTCTTACTTGTAATGCAGATCACTCAAAAGTCTGAGTTTTCAAGGCAGGCTTCCACCGCAACTTGTCAACCTTAAGTTCCTCCGGTTCATGTAAGAACAACAAATATATCGCACTATCAGCTCAACTACTTTCAATCTCATTAATTATCTTCTCCTTAACAGTGATTTCACTCGCAACTATCTCAATGGCACTCTTCCAAAGGAATGGGCTTCATTGCAGCATTTGGACACTATGTAAGTTGGCCCGGTGTCAAACTCTCCGAATGAATTTTTGCTTCACTTTTATAATTATATGACCAGTGAATTTAATCCCTTGCAGCTCGGTTACTGCCAACCGCTTAACGGGGGAAATTCCACCGGATTGGGGCAATCTTACCAATCTTATTCACTTGTACACTTTAGAAATTCAATATATCTGTTGTTTCTATGTAAATGCATTGCCATTCAAATGTGTCTTTTTTTCCTGTTTTTACTCATGGTTTTAATAAAAACAAAATCTAGGAGCTTGGAAGCCAACCAGTTGTCTGGAAGCATCCCTGAGGAGCTTGGGAAATTGGTTAAATTAAACGTTCTGTATGATATCTTTGCTCTTAATATTTCAATTACCATAGGCGTTTGATTATCAATAATTAAATTTATCAAGAAATGTTTAACTAAGCTAGTTTTGTGCATGATCTCACAATTTAGGGCACTTTCCTCCAATCAGTTTGTTGGACGCTTGCCTAAAACACTAGCGAACATCAAGAACATGAATAGTTTGTAAGTTCTCATACTTTCTTTTTTTATAGAGTCTAGATAGTTTTGTGTCAATTGAATATGTTTCACTTTGTTGTGTGCAGTAGAATAAGTGATAATAACTTTAGTGGCCCCGTACCAGAACTTATTGGAAAATGGACACATCTCACAAGGCTGTAAGATCTTGATCTTTACAGATCCTCATTCCTAAATGCGTATCGAAGACCCTGATTTAAAGCTTTCTTTTCCAATTCCTGTTTGTTTTGTTGCCTTACTGAAGGGAAATGTATTCAAGTGGATTTGAAGGACCCATTCCTGATGCGATTTTTCATCTAGAAAATTTGACAGACCTGTGAGTAGTAGAACTTCTCAATTTAACCAGTCTCTCTATTACTAAGTCAATTGTAGGGGACTTGAATATTACATTACAATTCATGGATTCTTCTTTAAATACAGGAGGATCTCAGATATGACTGGACTACAAAACTTCAGTTTTCCAAATCTTAGCAAGAAGATTAATCACTTGTATGCAAAGTACTTCATATTAATCATGTTCATTTTATGCCAAGATTCTTAAGATTTTTCCATAGACATATGAATATTTGCATTTAGAGCTATTGAGTTGAAATGAAATTTGTCTTCAGGGTTTTGAGAAACTTGAATATGTCTGGACGGTTCCCGACAGACATTGGGCACATTGATAACACACTGTAAGGCAAAACTCTAATATACCTTCATCTACTTGTATGATGATGATATTTTAATGCTTATACTTTCTCTTTGTTCTTCGTATGGTAAATCCATTCAAGGAAATCAAATTAAGAACCTTAGTTTCATCAAAATCAGATGGTGTCCATGCCACCTCTGTAATCTTTTAGAAGTATCCATGTATGCCACATGTTCTATTTTGAACTCAGAGACTGAAAACTTTCAAGTTTGCCAAAAAATGCATGATATCTTTCATGATTGATTCCTATATCCATTCAAAGATGTGTTGTATTCTAAAATGCTAGAATGATACAAATTAAGCTGACCATGGGATTTTCTATCTAAACAGTAGTGGGTTATTTCCATGCTCTGTGTTTTTGTGTATTAAGGGGTAATGTAGATTAACTATGATAAATTAATAATGATGATAAAAACAATTATATTGTTGCTGAACATGACACATGGAGAAGGATATGAAGTGTCTGAAATTTCAGTTAAGGTTTTAGGATTAAGGCAAATGCTTGTAACTAGAGGGTCATCCTTCTTATCATAATGATGATAAAAACAATTATATTGTTGCTGAACATGACACATGGAGAAGGATATGAAGTGTCTGAAATTTCAGTTAAGGTTTTAGGATTAACGCAAATGCTTGTAACTAGAGGGTCATCCTTCTTATCACCAAGTTGTTATTTTCTTAAACAGTTTTATGATGCTAATGAAATTAAATATTTTCTTATAATTACCGGAATCAGGACAATTGAACATGTTTTTCTGATCTATATACTTTTCTGCACTTTCTGAAAGATTGCTAGTTCTTTTTAGTCACTTACAAATTACAATGATGTAAGACATCCGCTGACTATTCAATTTTACACAGTGATCTGACCTTTAACAATTTGGAAGGAGAAATTAACATTGATGCAGTACCTGCTCGTTATACGTAAGCAATCATAGATTTGTCCCATATTTTCAAATGGGTTTTGTTGCAAACTGCAAAATCAGAATCAACTATTTTATGGTGCTTAATATATCATGTTTTTTGTCAGCTTCCTGGGTGGGAATAGGTTCACTGGAAAAATACCCGATTCAATCCTCTCAAGTGGACACTTTGTGTATGTTCCTAAACTTACATGCTTGGATTAAACTTTTCACGTACTTAAATTTTGAACTCCATTAGTTATCTTTGCACATTTATATGTGCTAATGAGAGTCATTTTCCTTAATTTGCTTTAAAGAAGTTTGTGACTAGAATTCCATTTCAAGGGTGAAGTCCCTTCCATCATCAGTATTTTGGATAAGGGTGAAGGGTGAATTTGTAGATATAGCTGTAAGCTGCTATGCATCTTCAAGAATGCTCCAACATTATTAATATGTTATGGATATTGTCAATTTTGCAGTAAAAATTCTAAGTTCGCCAAGATAACAAAATATGTTAATTGTAGGGGATTCAAATTTGATGGGATTTAACTAACTTCCCTTGTGCATGGATTCATTTATAATCTGCAGTTTTTTATATGCATGTTAACTTTCCTTTTTATCCATTGTTTTCAGGGATCTTTCTTATAATAACTTCACACCGCTAACAAGCGGTTGTCCAAATAACAGGTAATTAAAGAAATGATAATCATAATGTTAGGTATAGATCCTTCTAAATCTTTCACTTATAATTTCTTTACATTTTTTTAATCAGACAAATAAACATGTATCAAAGCTTTTCTCAGAAGAACAACACGTAAGATCTCCTCAGGTTTGCAATGATTTTAAATATTAATTACCCAACAACAAATTTCTCAATATATATTCATGTTAGTTCTCTCTCACTTGACAGAGAACTAACATTGAATTGATTCGCTCTATGATATATGTGTTGGTAAACATAACTTTCTTCAGTTGAGTCGAATATTTCCAACTCCTACCTATTAAGAGATTTTTTAGTTGCCTCATGTATCATATAATGATGTCACTCTTATAAATATATAATTTGATTACCTATTTATAAAGCCACATATACATTATGCTAACATATTTAGATATTCATGTTTAATAGAAGCGGACTTCTTTCATGCCCCAGTACAACCAGCTGTCAAAAATGTGAGTTTGATTTCTTGGATAAAAACTCTCTGCAATTACTTGCAATTTTTATTCCATTTACAATCACATTAGTTGGACTATATTCTCCAGAAACTTATAGAAGCATATGCATTTACACTCCAAGAACATCTCTCATCTTATGACTGATAGGCGAATTTATACTGACATTTAGTGTCATTATCAATGCAATGAGGTTGAGATGATTAGCCTAACATGAAGGTTTTTTCATAATTGAGGAACAATATAGCAGCAATCAAGACTTTCTGCAATAGGCCAGCGCTTAAGCTGTTTGCTCTTTTATTTCTAGCCAATGATGATGCTATTAATGATTTTATTATGCATGTGGCAGACTATCGATCACTCCACATAAATTGTGGTGGACCAGATATAACAATCAACAATAACCTGTATGAAGGTGATCGAAATGCTGGATTTGGAGCTGCATGGAACTATAACTATGGAACAAATTGGGGATTCATTAGCACTGGAGACTTCATGGACGATAATGAAACAAATAGCAATGGATATATTATATCTACAAACTCTACCCCATTGAATTTCTCAGGATTGTACTCAACGGCACGTGCAAGTCCTCTCTATCTCATCTATTATGGATATTGTTTGGTTAATGGGAATTACACCGTGAACCTCCACTTTGCGGAGATAGTATTCAGGGATGCAGAACCATACAACAGAGTTGGAAGACGCATATTTAGTATTTATATTCAGGTAATCAATTATATTATGAGAATAGACCAAAGCTGCTGTTGCCTGATGGATACTCTTAATTTTGAAAATTTTATTTCAGGGAAGATTAGTGCAGAAAGATTTCAATATAAAGGAGGCAGCCAATGGAACTGGTAAAGCAATTATAAGATCATTTAACACCACAGTGACAGACAATACTCTTGAAATCCGCTTGTATTGGACTGGGAAAGGGACTACTTGTATCCCAAGTAGAGGATATTATGGTGCAATTATATCTGCTATTTCAGTATGTTATGGTAAGTAGTGTTATCTTTATCAAGTTTACTTTCAGAATGTGCTACCGCTGATGCTTATAATTCATGAGTGGCTTATTCTTCACTCATCTTTTATTGTTTTGTAATATTTGCAGGTTTGGAATCTAATTGTGTAGGCGAGATATATGGAGGTATGTTTTATAATTGTCATTGGTCAGGCTTCTTCATTGTATATGTATGTGTGTGTGTGTGTCTGTTTTTTTTTTTTAAATATTAATTTCTTCTAATGGTTATGCTCTTTTTTCTCTATACATGACATCTCAGAATCTAAGAAAACAAGAAATTTACCTGTTGTGGTTGGAGTTGTCACTTCAGTTTTGAGCCTTATTTTCATCACCATGGGTTTCTTCTATTGGAGATGCTACACTTCTGGGCACAAAAGCACAACAAAAAGAGGTATGAACTAAATCTTTTTGTTTGATTCAAACCTTGCAAATTTTTTTCTCGGTTGGCATATTCATTAATCCACAAGTCATCATGGATGACCTCTCTTTTCTCTGACTGCTGCTGGGCAGATCTTGAGGGGCTAGATCTGCAAACATGTACCTTCACTTTCAGACAACTAAGAGCGGCCACTAAAAATTTTGATTCTGAAAACAAGATTGGAGAAGGTGGTTTTGGATCTGTATATAAGGTATTCTGACTAACTCTGAGTGTTGGAATCTTGTTTTCAATGCATATGCAACCTGAGATACACTTTCATAGGCATTGACATTTAAAATTCTTAAACATTAACTCTAATCACTTATGCAGGGCAAACTATCAGACGGTACCATTATTGCTGTGAAGCAGCTTTCTTCTAAATCAAGGCAAGGAAACCGTGAGTTCGTCAATGAGATAGGGATGATTTCTGGTTTGCAACACCCAAATCTTGTGAAGCTATTTGGATGCTGTGTTGAGGGGAATCAGTTACTATTGGTTTATGAGTACATGGAAAATAACTGCCTCGCGCATGCCCTTTTTGGTAAACATGTTAATATTTGTTGCTTGGTTTTTAGTTTAGTAAAAATTCTAAGTTTGCCAAGATAATAAAATATGTTAATTGTAGGGGATTCAAATTTGATGGGATTTAACTAACTTCCCTTATGCATGGATTCATTTATAATCTGCAGTTTTTTATATGCATGTTAACTTTCCTTTTTATCCATTGTTTTCAGGGATCTTTCTTATAATAACTTCACACCGTTAACAAGTGGTTGTCCAAATAACAGGTAATTAAAGAACTAATAATCATAATGTTAGGTATACATCCTTCTAAATCTTTCACTTATGAGTTTTTTACGTTTTTTTAATCAGACAAATAAACATGTATCAAAGCTTCTCTCAGAAGAACAACACGTAAGATCTCCTCAAGGTTGCAAACAACAAATTTCTCAATGTATATTCATGTTAGTTCTCTCTCACTTCACAGAGAACTAACATTGAATTGATTCCCTCTATGATATATGTGTTGGTAAACATAACTTTCTTCAGTTGAGTAGAATATTTCCAACTCCAAGCAATTAAAAGATTTTTTAGTTGCCGCATGTATCATATAATGACGTCACTCTTATAAATATATAATTTGATTACCTATTTATAAAGCCACATATATATTATGCTAACATATTTAGATCTTCATGTTTAATAGAAGTGGACTTCTTTCATGCCCCAGTACAACCAGCTGTCAAAAATGTGAGTTTTATTTCTTGGATAAAAACTCTCTGCAATTTATAGAAACTTATAGAAGCATATATATTTACACTCCAAGAACATCTTACATCTTATGACTTATAGGCGAATTTATACTGACATTTTGTGTCATTATCAATGCAATGAGGTTGAGATGATTAGCCTAATATGAAGGATTTTACATAATTGAGGAACAGTATAGCAGCAATCAAGGCTTTCTGCAATAGGCTTAAGCTGCATGCTCTTTTATTTCTAGCCAATGATGATGCTATTAGTGATTTTACTATGCATGTGGCAGACTATCGATCACTCCACATAAATTGTGGTGGACCAGATATAACAATCAACAATACCCTGTATGAAGGTGATCGAAATGCTGGATTTGGAGCTGCATGGAACTATAACTATGGAACAAATTGGGGATTCATTAGCACTGGAGACTTCATGGATGATAATGAAATGAATAGCAATGGATATATTATATCTACAAACTCTACACCATTGAATTTCTCAGGATTGTACTCAACGGCACGTGCAAGTCCTCTCTATCTCATCTATTATGGATATTGTTTGGTTAATGGGAATTACACCGTGAACCTCCACTTTGCGGAGATATTATTCAGGGATGCAGAACCATACAACAGAGTTGGAAGACGCATATTTAGTATTTATATTCAGGTAATCAATTATATTATGAGAATAGACCAAAGCTGCTGTTTGTCCTGTATTATACTGTAATTTGGACAATGTTATTTCAGGGAATATTAGTGCAGAAAATTTTAATATAAAGGAGGCAGCCAATGGAACTGGTAAAGCAATTATAAGATCATTTAACACCACAGTGACTGACAATACTCTTGAAATCCGCTTGTATTGGACTGGGAAAGGGACTACTTGTATCCAAGTAGAGGATATTATGGTGCAATTATATCTGCTTTTCAGTATGTTATGGTAAGTAGTGTTATCTTTATCAAGTTCACTTTCAGAATGTGCTACCGCTGATGCTTATAATTCATGATTCTTATTCTTCACTCATCTTTTCTTGTTTGTTATTTTGCAGGTTTGGAATCATTGTGTAGGAGAGATATATGGAGGTATGTTTATAATGGTCATTGCTCAGGCTTCTCATTGCATATGTGTGTGGGTGTTCTATTTTTTTTTTCTTAAATATTAATTCTTCTAATGGTTATGCTCTTTTTTCTATATACGTGACATCTCAGAATCTAAGAAAACAGAAATTTACCTGTTTGATTGGAGTTGCCACTTCAGTTTTGAGCCTTATTTCATCACCATGGGTTTCTTCTATTGGGATGCTATACTTCTGGGCACAAAAACACAACAGAAAGAGGTATAACTAAATCTTTTTGTTTGATTCAAACCTTGCAAATTTTTTTCTCGGTTGGCATATTCGTTAACCACAAGTCATCATGGATGACCTCTCTTTTCTCTGACTGCTGCTGGGCAGATCTTGAGGGGCTAGATCTGCAAACATGTACCTTCACTTTCAGACAACTAAGAGCGGCCACTAAAAATTTTGATTCTGAAAACAAGATTGGAGAAGGTGGTTTTGGATCTGTATATAAGGTATTCTGACTAACTTATGGTGGAATCTTGTTTTCAATGCATATGCAACCTCATTTTCATAGGCATGGACTTTAAAAATCTTACTTAAACATTAACTGTAATCACTTATGCAGGGCAAACTATCAGATGGTACCATTATTGCTGTGAAGCAGCTTTCTTCTAATCACAAGGAAATCGTGAATTCGTCATGAGATAGGGATGATTTCTGGTTTACAACACCCAAATCTGTGAAGCTTTTTGGATGCTGCGTTGAGGGGAATCAGTTACTGTTGTTTTATGAGTACATGGAAAATAACTGCCTTGCGCTTGCCCTTTTTGGTAAACGTGTTAATAGTTTTTTCTTGGTTTTTAGTTGCACTTGCTTGCATGTTGAATATTTTCAATGAACAAATTTCTTTTACCTGGTATTGGGCATTATCAATGTAGGTTCAGAGATACCTTGAAGTTGGACTGGGAAACAAGACAGAAGATATGTGTTGGAATAGCCAGAGGTTTAGCCTTTCTTCATGAGGATCAACTCTTAGGATAGTTCACAGGGACATCAAAGCTACAAATGTACTGCTTGACAGAGAATTGAATCCAAAAAATCAGATTTTGGATTAGCTAAGCTTAAGGAAGAGGAGAACACTCACATTAGCACTAAATTGCTGGAACTATGTGATTTGAATGATTTTTTGACATAATTTCTGATCTCACAACATGTATGCACTTTAAGGATATAATTCTGACGTTTCATTGATTCTAGAGGTATATGGCTCCAGAATATGCACTATGGGTTTATCTAACAGAAAAGGCAGATGTTTATAGCTTTGGAGTGGTTGCTTTGGAAATCGCCAGTGGAATGAATAATGCCAGTTCAGGGTAAAGTGAATGTGTTTGCCTTCTCGATTGGGTAAGTTTTTTTTTTTTTCTTTTTGCATGAGAATGTATTTTGCTGTGCATTCTGTGGCAATAGTTGAACTATTGCATTCTTGTGTTGGGATGTTGCAGGCCTTTGATTTGCAACAGAAAGGAAACTTGATGGAGTTAGTGGATCCGAAGTTGGAGAATGAATTTAACAGGAAGCTGAAGGATGATAAAAGTGGCTCTGTTATCTCCATGCATCCCCATCACTGAGGCCAACTATGTCAGAGGTAGTTAGTATGCTTGATGCAGAAACTGATATTCAGAAGTGATCTCGGACCTACATCTATGGCAGTGATTTTCAATTACAACCACTCAAAATCATTATCAGCGGATTCAAGACCAGAGTTCAAAAGGAAGCTCAGCCCAAACTTTTCTTCAGATAAAACATCACTTGGTTCTTCCACACATCTGCCCACGATCTCTTCTCTATCAATCCTGAGAGCATTAGAAAAATTACATCGGCCCATGATCTTTATCCACTCCCTTCCCAGACCACCTCTCTTAACGTTAGCGATACTTCTTCTATTTTACATCATAGTTCTTGAGTCTTACATACAATTAACTAGATATTCATTACTGGTTTATATAATCCTTTTATTTCTCTTTGCTATAATTTGTATTGCAATCCGAACTGCTTCTTAAGTTTGGGTGAAAATATGTTGTAATATTTTCGTTTTAGTCAAATTTTCATTGAGCCCATGCTATAAGGATGTTTGTTCCTCATGTTTGGTGAATGGGTTAAATTATGTTGTTCATTTCACTACTAATATTAAATAGCAGTTGGTTGCATACTTGAGCCACTGACTCAGTCCAGATTTTGAGATGTCTGGGATAAAACACTCACCAGCTGGCCCTTAGGGTAAATTATAATGTGTTTTACACTAATATGTTTAATGTTTAGTTTATAATGTTCATCAATATATATATTTCAGCAACCACAGTGAAAGGTCACCTGGCAACGCTCTCCTGGTTAATTAGCTTTTTAATGCCAATTTCTAGAAAATTGTTCTCAATGTTGCATATATATATGCACTACATAAAAAATAAGATATTTTATCAAACCCAAGTTCATCATATGAACACAAGTTTGCTGTTAGAACTCAAGCCAAAGGAAGAGTACAACTCAAAAGATTGATCTAATAAGTAGAAAAGCCCCTAGGCTTAAGTACCACACTCGGTGTATCCTGATGTGGGATTCTAACATTGCACCTCCTTCAAGAGTCGTCGCCCTTCAAGAGCTGACATCCACAACAGCTTTCACTCTATCGACACTGACCCGACAATAGCCCTTTCCCCCTTCCCCTTTGAACGGCTTCACTCACTTATTAGTTATTTGATGCAACACCTCCTCCTAAGGAGAGCACACTGCACCTTTATCTAACCTATAGGTAGTCCTTTCCGTAGCCTAACTCTCTACGAAAAGCATCGATGTTAAAATTCAAGCTCAAAGGAGATCCCAACCCAAAAGACCGGCCTAATAGGTGGGAAAACCCCTAGGCTTAAGTACTACATTTGGTGGGTGTGAGATCCTGATGTGAGATCCTAACATTTACATAATGAAAGCTATCTTATTTATGAATACAACATAGACGAAAACACTTATTTAGCCCTTCGATTCCCTGCGGTAGGTGAAAAAAAAAAAAAGTGTAGTTTGAGCATGGACTCGTTGAACATTTGACAAAAACAGAAATATTAAACAGTATCTTCTTGGCCAAATATTAAACAGCCAAGTGAAATAAAGCATTCATCATCCAAACTAGTTCCATCTATCGGGCTTATTATAATTTACAAAACTAAAAAACTATGATTTAAAACAGAAGAATTGTCGCTATTTCGATTCAGAGATGTGGTCTCAGAATTGACAGTGTTGAGATCATGGGTGGATGTTGTGGAGCATCCCACGGATGTTTAGGGTTTAGTGAAAGTTTGCCGCCATTTTCCTCTTGTACTCTGGTCTCTAATCTGTTGGTAATGGTGTTTGAGTGGTTGCAATTCCAAATAACTAGATAGATGCTAGGATCCGAGGTCACATCGTGAATACCGGTTTGTTACTCAAGCATACTAAGTACCAACTACCTCTGTCATGGTTGGCCTCAGTGACCGAGTTGCATTGCAGCATAGCAGGGCCACTTTCACCATCCTTTCAGCCTCTTCCTTGTTGAACTAATACGCAAAATTTTCATCCACTAACTCCACCAAATTCCCCATCTGTTGCAAATCAAATGCCTGTAACATTCCACCAAAAGAATGTAATATTTAACTTTAACCTTTCAACATCCAAGACACATCAATTTTGCATCCACTAAATCCACCAAGTTCCCCTTCTGCTGCAAATCAAAGGCCTGCAATATTCCACCAAAAGAATGTGATATTTAACTTTAACCTTTCAACATCCAAGACACAGCAACAGACATACTGATCTTATGAAACTTATCAAATCAAGAAGGCAAAAGCAACCATTTTGTGCCAAGTAACTTACGTTGCTCCTGCCACTGATAATCTCCAAAGCAATCACCCCAAAGCTATAAACATCTGCCTTTTCAGTTGGGTAACCCCATAGCGCATATTCTGAAGCCATATAACCACTGGAAAGGGACATATTAAAATATTATACCATTATACCACATTACAAGTTTTGAGAACAACAGCGTTGTAACTCACATAGTTCCAGCAACTCTAGTGCTAATGTGGGTGTTTTCTGATGGAATTCTAACATGAATTCCATTCAATTATAACAGTTAACCCCAAGATCTACATATTGATTATAGAATATTAAATTCAAAGATTAAGGATAAGAAAAACTTGATTCTGCCATAGCTTTTGATTTCTTGAATTCCCTGCAAGTAGTGACCGGTCTTCCTTTCCATAAATGCTCTAGGATGACGACAGCTTTCAAATAGGGTTAAGTGTAGAATCGCATTTTGGAAAGGGGAGCTAACCAATTTATATCAATTTATTGGGCTCTCCCATTAAAGGTCCAATAAACTCTAAAGCCCATTATAGGCTCAAGCCCACACTTTTCGTCAACCCAGATTATATAAAATAAAGTGTATTGGACAAGTTCAAGAATGATCATATAAGCCCATTAGGATATCTCGTTGGACTATGCATTTGCCTGGTTTTATCAAACTAAATCATAATTAATGTTAGCCTACAATTAGGAATTTTTTAACATTCTCCCACTTGGGCAAACATTAATTATTTTATTTTATTTTAAGAAAATAAAACAATTTTAACTCTCGGGTAAACAAACTTTTTAACTTTAAAGTGGCCAAATCTGGCTGGTTGTGTGTCATTCCAACAATTATCAGTGGCGGTTGACAGTGATGGCCAACTACCAGGAATGGCTTGGGGTGGGTGGAAGTGATGTTAGAAATTAAACTTTTATGTGGCTTGGGTGTTTTAGCGAAATCTCAAATGTAAGGGATTAAAAAATGATTCAAAAAATAATAATATATTAATATTTAAAAAAGAGGGCAATTTAGTAATCTATATAACATACCCACCAATTTATTCTTCTCAATTAAAGATATCAATATAACATACCTACCAATTTATTCCTCTCAACCAAACATATCAATATAGCATACCTACTAATTTATTCCAACCAAACCAAACACATTTCCCTAAGCATTCCTAGCAACCTTCAAGGTAATCTATCTTTTCATTAATATAACATCCTATTACTACAACATTCCTTAAACCTAACGCACCCTAAGGGTGATTTAGGGTATGATTGGCTCTTCTATTTACAGTACAACTGTTGTAAACATATTTTAAAGAAAAAGAACACAAATTAGTGTTTTGTTGTTTTCAACAAATATACAGTTTCATACTTAAAATTGTGCAACCATCTTTTGAGTATAAAAATCAATTTTAAAGAAACAGAAAGTTGTTTCTAAGTATAAAATAAATATTGAAATCAAATTAGAAAACAAAACAAATCCTTAATAATATGGCTTAGACCTTCAAACATTACAAGGAAAAAGGCCTTTCTTGATGGGGATTCCCCGTCAAGAGAGGGGTACAATGATCGTTTTTGAACTATCATTGTAGCCCCTATCAAGAAAGGGTCATGACAGTTTTCAAACTGTTAAGGACCTTTTGATAGGTCCTTGATAATTCGATAACTGTCAAGGATTTAGTAGAACTTGAACCAAATCATTGACAGCTAGCTTAATAATCCTTGACAGTTCAAATTGTTAAGATTTAGCCAATTTTCAACTTTTTTGAATTTTGCCAAATTGTTGACAGTTTTCACACTGTCAAGATTTCTTTGTTAATTTTTTTTAATTAATAAAATTCTTTATTATTACATATTAAATTATAAATAATTGAATGAAATGCTTCATAATATTATGACCATTCAATAATATGTAATGAGACATTGAACAATTGATCGAATAATACATATATTACTGTTGCTCTGAGTAAACAAAATGTGACAACAGTATAAATTTTACAATATTGCATAAACAGTAATGAAAGTTGATACATAGTTTTGCCCTCATTGGCTTTTGACATCACTGAAACAACAATATATAATCAACTACTCTCGGTCTTGAAGTTAAATCAACTAGGTTACCATGAAGAAAAAATAGACTAAGAAATCAACAATTTAAACTTTCAATGAAAACCTATCTGTGAATTTCTTCAGCTTATCCACCAGTTCACACCAAGATGTTGTGCCTTTAATCTGTGAACATGTTGCCATTGCATCAACTGGTTGTCCAATTTAAGAGGATATCAAGTTTCACCAAATCAGATTCTTGATATCTGTTGACAACATAGCTCAGTATGTGTCAAGTGAAATTCTAATTGTTCCATCAAAGCAACTAAAATGGATGCCTTATGAAGAAGTAAGAAATATCTTATGATGAATCACATTGAGACATGACTCCAAATATGCAGAAAGTCATTGGGAGGCTTCATACAAAATCAATTTATCAATTGGCATGAGATGTTGTCCAAGGGTGTGAATTTTTAAGTAGTCAGTACAACCCTAGTAGTCTAGTAGTAATAAAAAAAGTTGCAACTCCCCCCAAACATTAGAATACGAACTAGAATATCACATCCTCGGCTAGTGCCATTCTTTATGATTCAAATTGTGTTTGTGGGTGCACCATATGCCATGTTGTGTGTGTGCGTGATGAGAACCCACTCCCAAACTCAACAAAACAGTAAAAATATAACACCACATCCAAGAAATAGGAAGAAAATAGATATGTTATCGATATTCACACAATTGAACCAATGGTAGCAAACAACAAATATACCCAGCGCATCAACCCAAAAGGACAAAACCAAAATATGAAGGAAAAACATGCTGGACTCGAGGGCCAGCTCCTCCCTATTGCTAACTTCAGGGTTAGCTCCTCCCCTCCCAATTTCCCTATATTCTTCTCTGCCTTATTCAGCTCTCTGCCTCTCTTTTTATTCTCCAGCTCTCTCTCTCTCTCTCTCTCTCTCCCTAATTGAATTCCTTTGTTGTCCTAACCCCCAATCGCCACTTGTCCTAGCCTAAACCCACGGAAGTTTCCACCCAACATCCCTCAATCTACTACTTGCTATCTTATTTCACCTTTCCTACACCCTCATTATCCAAGTCCCATCATTACCCTCCCCAAGCACTACCACCTTGT